CAATGGATTTTTTTAAATAAATATTTTTAATTTTTTTTCTATTGTGTAGAAATTTTCCTAACAAGTCATCCAAGTTAGTGATATAATATTATACCTAATGTATGTATATTATTTTTAATAATATTATTGACACATTGTTTTTTAAATATATCTTTTGTATTTATTAGCTACTATATCGTTACATAATTAATAGCTGTTGTCTTAATATAACATCAAAACTAATAGAGCTAAATATTTACTTATTTATAATCATGAACAAAACATCGTAGCTAAATTTAAAATATTAAAAGAGTGTGCAAATTTAATTATTTGTTCTAGGTACATTTCAATTTTGTACTAAAAATCCTAACCAATTATTCACATTTCATGGTGTTCAAAATCATAGCAATAATATTCAACCTAACGATGATCGTATACGTAACGACGACCTACCTACATGTATTTTGTGACTACTTCTTAGAAACTTATGAGATGACTAATTTGTGGACATCTATTTGGACTGAATTTTCTAAATCTACGATTCATTCAACTTATTATGTTGTGAATCATTTCATTCCAAGCTGAATATTATGAATGGAATGTAACATCCTTTAAATATTTGCCACGGATTTGCCTATAGTGTTGGCACGTATTAGGGGTATCCAATTTTCTATGACTGTCGCATAAATACGATTGAATTTGCTGGATGGCTTTGGTTATTTTGACTTTGAGGGCATTAATTGTTTGCATCATAGACGATGCGATTTAAGAYGCAAAGGGTTAAATCGCACATTTATGTCGCCGTCGCGCGATATCACCACGTCCTCAAATCGTTCATTGCAGAACGTCCATCGTTGCGACACGTAACAATTTCTCGTGGCCTAAGCTGGACGAGGTCCTCGTCACGAGGACATGTGATTTTAACAGGACGGTGCTATGTGTCACAGAGCACATGCAAAGTTTAATGTACAGGAAAAAAAAAATGTTAAATAAATAAATGTTTAATAAAGTCGAAATAACTATCGTGGATATTGCYGGCCACGGAATCGAACTTGCTACCCTCGTAACTCTAACAAACTGCAAACCTATTCCAATCTACTATGATACAGTTGATACACTACTAAAATATCCGACGGAAGGTAACATACTAACATGGCATAAGWCTAATAAGTGTACCTAATCTCATTTTATAGAATGGTTGGAAAGGGAACTTTTTAAAGTTTTTTATGAACGTCTGGAGCTTTATTTTCGATTCATCTGTCATCCGTAGTCTAGCTAGTAGCTATATATTTGTCTTGACATAATATGTAACTTAACAGTTTACATTTGACTATTTGAGTACCTAAATTAGTATAATAAATTAAGAACCAATAATATAGGTAGATAGCAAGATAACAATAGCAAACAAAACAAGTTATTTGCATATATTTTTTTCTAATAATTATTGTTAAATAAACTACACTTAGAAATTGTACCATTTAAAAAAAAGTTGATCACCACTGCTATAAACTTATGAAAAATAAATCTGAATTATTGAAAATTAATAAGTTGAATACATTAATTTTAATTTTTACCGATCAATAAATAATAATATATTATGAATGTTTTTTTAACACGCAGTATTTAATTATTAATATAATTTATGGTCATCAGTTACTAAWCATTGAATAAGGGTAATAAGGAGGATCTATCGCTTTCATCATTCCCCCTCCCTATTTGACAGCCATTGCCTGTGATACTAACTGATGAGTTTTTTTAACCTTGCTTCACTCATATAATATAGTTTGTATTTGATGACACCCAACATTAAAACATACCCTATTTGGAGACATTGAATTTTAATATACTAATATATTGTATTGCACAAAAATCTATGGCGAATGACATTGTCACAAGTAACTATTTTAATAATTGTATTTCAATTAGTAATTAACATAGTATTAACTATTAATCCAACAGGTATCGACCARATTATAGCCATAAAACCAAATACATAACTGTTAAACTATGTAATAATAGGATAAGCGATAGTGATGCCTAGTGTATTATGTAAACATAGACAATAGACCTTCATTAACTATTTAAAAGTATTTCTTTATACCAAGTACTATAGATCTATGCTTATAGTCCTCAAGTTACTACCCACCTAGTTATGCCTACGACGTAGACCTAGAAATGTGACCTGGGYAATAATTTTTCCTGACATGAATTGTTTTCCCAGGTCGCTCCTTTATGAGTWATGACCATAGTTAAATAAATATTTTAGTTTGTCGTAATATATATATATATATATCTTATAGGTGAAAAATTAAATATTCAAATTCATATTTCATTGTACGTTTTGTAAATAATTGAGAACTCTATTGTTTTGTATATTAGTAAACAAATGTTTAATCTTTTAACTTCTTAGTATCCAATGTCTATAACAATTATAATAAATATTTGTTTATTAACTTGCTTTTGTGTCTATCAACTTTTGAACCTCAATATACTTATACTAGTTCATATAACAAAAAATTATGAACAATTTGTTTAAAAAAAAACATATTTGATATCTCAATAAATTAAATGGTTGACAAAAAAATATAAAATAATCYACTAATATCAATAAAAAAATTGTCATGAAACTCAATTATCATCCTGCGGAAAAATCTTGTATGGATTTAATATAGTCTTTGGGTCAATAGTATTTTTTAATTTTTTCATTAAATCAATTTCTAAATTGGTTTTTGAATACTTTAAATATTTACTCTTTAAAAACCCTATTCCATGTTCAGCACTTACACTTCCTTTGTATTTACTAGTCCATTCATAAACATAAGGTTCAATGGCCGAGGCTATTTCAACATTATGTTCAAAAGTAGCCACATTTAAATGTAAATTTCCATCACCTATGAATATAAATAAAATACAAATTAGTTCATTAATGTGTAATATTATTAAAACTATAAATACAAGATTATTACCTAAATGTCCATAGCCACAAACAGCTTTAACATCTAGTTTTTCTAATCGTTTCCTTATATCAGATACAATCTCATAAAATAATTCATGAGGTAAAGTTATATCATATTTATAGACATATCCATATCTTAATAAACTTTCAGGAATATTTTCTCTTATCTTCCATAAATTCTAAACATTTTCAATTGTCTAAGTAAAATTATTTACTTTGATGTTCATTTGTTTATTATTATATTGCCTCAATAGATATTCATTACTTGAATTAGTGATGGTTGGTCTGCTACAGTAGCATCTAAAATTATTTCTTCATCTAAAGCTTTTTCTAAAAATTCTTGAATAGAATGACTGATATAATTGTTATCACTAGATAATTCTACAAGAACGTAAAATTCCAGATTGTCATTTATTGGACACTTGATGCCAATATTTTTTTCCACACTCTTTATTGCTACTGAGTCCATTAGTTCAAATGATGAAAGACTAGCAGTAAATTCTTTTCGTACTAGTGAGAAGAAACTTAATACTTTATCAAATGATTCTAAGCCTGTAAATAAATAATAATGAACACAATCAGGTCAGTCATTGGAATACAAGTAATTTATGTGTTCCTTAGGATAGTAAAATTAAATAAAGAATATAATTACCTATTTAAATTTGATAGCCATAAATTGTTTATAATTAATTCAAAACTATTGTGATGTCACACAGGGACAAGAACATAATTAATTACACTAGAGAACTAGGGAGATAGCCTGGGGTGGTAAAATATTGAGTAATTGGTGAATTTTATACAGAATTATACAATGAATTATTTTTTTTTACATCAAATACAATTAAATATTTCTAAAGGAAACAAAACTTAAATATTTTTGAATTTAAAWGTGTTGATTAAAATGAGTGATGACAGAAAACATTTAAGGGGTTCTGTTTATAAAAAGCTTTTAAATTAAAATTAGAAAAACTAACTCATTAGAAGTAAAATAAGATTCTAAGCATTTTGTTC